GCTGAAATTCAAGTCTAGATATGGTGCTTTTCACCAGAATGTATTGAACTTCCTGTGAGGAAGTAAAATATAGATTGATTTAATAGCAACTGTGCTTCTGCTAAGTGGCTTAGACATAAATCATGATGTTACTGTGAGCTATATAGAATTTGAAAATTCTCCCGCATGTAATAAGTGTATCACTTCAACTGAGAGTACTTCAGAGTCAGGACAGCAAGGACTTTTATTAATGTGAATGTCTATGATATTTTTCCTCTCCCTCAACTTGCAGCTTATGAACTTATTACTGTATTAAGCACTTGAAGGAATGTCCTAGGACTGAAATGTTTAATTCTGACAGTTTATGTATAATTTAAAGGTATCACTTAGGTCCTAAATTCTCTGAGTTGTACTTGTTCTTCTCTAAACTTCTAAATTACAACAGTGCAAATTGGAATCCTTACTGCCTGATGACTTTACGTCCTTTCTAAATAGCAATGTTCAAGATGCTGATGGCAGGTGTATCTGATTTGCATGGAATATTCTTTTGGAATGGGCCAGTGAAGAAAATTTCAATTTATTGTAAAGAACAGTGGTTTTTTATGTTTTGAGGTGCGTAGTCCTGAATGTAGAACAGCATCTTGTTTGAACCTGAAAGTTAAGTTTTTAATGGTGGACATATTTCTAGTGCATGGAGGGAAAAAAAAAATCACAATTATAAAACATGAACTCCAGAGGAATCTTCATTTTCCCAACTATGAAGCACTTTATTTTTTTTTTCAGAAATTGATCTCAAAGAAATAATGATAGTTTTATTAATATCCTTGACTAGAAAAATATGCCTTTTAAGTTGTGCAGACAGTGATAACAGGATTATTTTATAGGGTGAGATTTTCAAAAATGAGGTGTGCAGCTCCTACTGAAAACCTCTGGGAGTTCAGATCCTGGGTGACTTGGAATATGCTGCTTTGTGCTTGAAGTAATTAGGGAAAATACAAAACAAACAGTTTTCTTTCCTAGTTCATGAAGGAATTAAAAAAAAAATCATTTTAATGAATGGAGTTGAACACAGCAGCAGTTTTTCTGTATTTCAAAATACATTCCTGAAAAATTTATGCTTTACTAACACAATCATCATAGAACAGTTTTCAGGCTTAAACTAGTCATGTCCCCAATTCTGATAGGGAGCAAAAGGGTACTGTCAGAAGCTGGATTGCATCTTTCCTGAACTAGCTTTGAGCATAGCGTTAGGAGACCTAATGACAGAATTTTTATTGTAGATAGTATTTTTAATATGTGACTCCTAGCCCTGTGCTATTTAAAGCTTG